TTGTTATTTCAAATTTTAGGAAGTAGAATGCTAGGAAGATACTAAGCCTTTTGTGGCAAAGGGCAAATTATAATCTTGTGTTCATTAAAAGAAAAATTGAGAAAAGATGAATGTTGAATATAATTTTCAGAATTTAATGTACAAAATTACCAACTTTAGGGATAATTATTTTTAAGATCTTTCCTTCAAAGTTAATTATATAAATCTGATCCTTATGGTTCATTACAGAAAAGAAGATCAAATCGACAAATTAAAAGGAAAAAATATGCAGAAGAAGCAGAAGGGAAACAATGTGAAGAATCAATTAAAGGTTCTATGAAAATAAAAAAGAATTCAGCTCCTTTACCTGGTGAACAACCCTTACAATTATTTGTGGTAAGATATATTTGGGATTATGACTGTAAAACATTTTAAGCTATCATAAATTCTTTAAAATTGTTTCATTGTCTTTCCTCCTGAATTCTGGATTCTGTGTTGTGTAGGTAATAGAATCATTGGTCATTCAAATTAGACACCTAGGAATTTATTTTATTCTCTTTTCTTTTACTTCTTCCTCTGATTTATCATTACATGCTACATTTTCTTCCTTTAAAATAAATATCCTTGAAACTCCTCCAACTTCTGTATCCTTTCTGCAGAATATTTCTAAATTCTACGTCTGATCATATTGCTCTACTGAGAACTCCTTAATAGTTCTCTAAATCTTAGAAAAATAATGCTACCTTTGTACAGTTGATAAAGCCCTTTCCTTTGGGTCTTTTCTGCCCTTCTGCTGCTTCTCTACAAGCACGCACTTCCCTAGCTTTATGAAAGTAATAGCCTCAATGCCATGTTTTGCCACTTCTGTGCTTATGCATATGCCTTTCCTCTTTATAAACTTCTTTTAACAACCCTGAATTGTGTTGTAAACCAGCCTCTCATCTGTTTCTTAATAGCTGAGGCCTTGAGCAAATGCTCCTCTTCTCTAGTTTGAGTTTCCTCATCCATACAATGGAGATGATAATAGTACCTATAGTGCCTAGTGTTGCTGTAGGATTCAATTAGTTAATACGTGTGCTGTGCTTCAATGATGCCTAGCACATAAAAAAAACACAGTGTCTTTACTGTAATGATACAAATGATGAGGACAATAAGAACAATGATGTCTTTTTCCATATTTGTATTCCTGTCATTTAACAGAGCACATAGACTAAATAAATGTTTTATATACAATGTGACATGAGAACCAAGAAGTTCTTGGAATATATTCCATTATGTATGTATGTTTGTTTGTTTGTTTTCGCCTTCTTCCCACAGGAGAATCCCAGTGAAGAAGATGCTGCAATTGTGGACAAAATATTATCTTCTAGAATTGTGAAAAAGGAAGTAAGTAATGGTACTTTACATGTTACGTTTGTATTCGATGGCTTTCTTTAAAAAGTCATAATTATTGATTTTATTTTCTTAAAGATATCCCCTGGAGTGATGATTGATACAGAAGAATTTTTTGTAAAATACAAGAATTAGTAAGTATACAAGTTAGAAAATAAACACTAGAAAGATACTGATTTAAATATAAAGTACCGCAAATAACTTGATTTTCCTTTTGTATATATTATATATGATAATGACTCTTATCATTGAAAAGGTGAAAAGGCACTGTTTGATATCTTTTCACATCAAAATTGAATGTTTTTGCTTTCAGAAGACATTAATTATTAATCTAAAAATGCAGTAATTTTTTACATAAAACCTACTTTTACAAATTGTTGCCATTATTCTGTTTGTATTGGTGAGCTTTTCATATTTCATTCTTTTTGCAAAAAAAACATTTTTGATCTCTGGGTTATTATATCATATGATGATTTGACTAAAATTGTAATCTTGGGTATAGGTAAATTAAACTACAAGGTTGCTAATCGTGGGAAACCACTTACTCTTTTTTTTTAAATGTTTTCCAACTTTTCTAAGTATTCTTCTGTTAGATAAAGTGTTTAAAAAAATTACATTGGTTTCAAAATAACCTAGTTTTCTGATCATGACAAAACTCTTATAGTAAATAAATAAATGATGAATCACATCTTCCCACTACCCTTGTGACTCAGTTTACTATTCTCTTTCTCCAAGGCAAATGGCAGACCTTTATACTATAGTCTCTTCAGGATACAGTGATCACAATGATTATATTTCAAAAAGTATACAAGACTCTATTAAATAAAATGATGAACTACCTATATGTAAAGTTGAAGATAATATTTTATTGAATGTTATGACTAAATTAAATCTTGAAAATCCATAGCATGATTTTCTGTATCGTTCTAATACATTATTTTTTATAAAATTTTTAGCTCCTATCTTCACTGTGAATGGGCTACAGAAGAGCAGCTTTTGAAAGATAAGAGAATCCAGCAGAAAATTAAGCGATTTAAAATGAGACAAGCACAAAGAGCACATTTTTTCTCAGACGTAAGAAAAAGTATAAATGACACTATTATGTGTTAGACTATATTTGTTGTTGTTATGTGCCATGGAGTTGGACCCGACTCATAAGCTATATTACTTATAAAAGCTTTAGTAGTATTCATATTAATTCTTAACACAAAATAAACACTGCCATCAAGTTGGACCGGACTCATAGCGACCTCTCCTTGGGTTTCCAAGGTGGTATCACTACGGAAGAAGATTGCCCATCCTTCTATCTGAGGAGTAGCTGGTGGGTTTGAACAGCCAGCCTTCTAGTTAGCAGTCATATGCCTTAGGCACTATGCTACCAGAGCTCCTATTAATTCTTAGGTTCCCAAACTTAATATTTTATAATACATACATTTGTATAGTATTTTTCTCTTTCCATATTCTTCTTGGAAACAATACCTTGAGCAGGAATACTGATAATTTAAAATAGTGACTAACTTACATTTTTAAGTTAGTATGTATTTGAATACTTAAATTTGAATGTGGATGGGTTAATATCACAGAATATTTATTAGGAAAGTTACTTATGTAGAGGAGTGATAATGTAGCAAATAAGTAGTAAGTCTGGCATTTTTTAGGAGTTTGAGTTTTGCTCTCTATTTTTCTCCTCTATTTTTCTCTGTTCTACCTAGGACCTTCTCTTGTGTCCTTGGTCAGAATGATCAGAAGTGGTAGCCAGGCACCATCTAGTTCTTCAGGTCTCATTAGTGCCTTTTAAGCAAAAGATTTTGTGTGTATGTGTATTCTTCTCCAGAAGCCAATCCAGGACCACACGTTATGTTTAGTTATCATGTTCTTTTAATCTGGAAAGTTACTCATTTTTTCTTTTATGACCTTAACATTTTATTAAGAGTACAGATTGTTTGTTTTAGAATCTTTCTCAATTTGAGTTGTCTGGTATTTCCTCATGATTAGATTCAGGTTCAGCAGTTTTTAAAAGAAGATCGTAGAAATGATTCTCAGCAAATCTTACCAGGAAGGACATGATACCTATGTACCCCATTATTGGTGGTGATAACAGTTATCACTAGACTGATAGATTTCTCTGTAATGAAGTTCCTACTATTCCCCTGTAATTACTGAAACTAGTTAAGAATGTTAATGATTCTAATGATCTCGTAGTATATGGATGCTGCAGAGTCCTCCCAGCCCCTCAAAAATATCTTACCTCCACAGTGTGATATATGAAATTCCTAATGAATTAACGCCTGTACAAGTACTGAATTAATAGTATTTTAGTTTTTAACAAAGACTGCTTTCTCTAACCTGACCCAATAGGAATTGTGCAAATTTTCTTAATGTACCTCATTACCATTCCTGTGTTAGACAATGTATCCTTAGAAAACATGTGAGTATGCTAATTACACTCATGAGAGATTTAAGACCATAAAGACAACTAAAGGCAGAGGCGTGGTTTACTGCAACATTTAGAGGATAACCAAGGGAGGTACCACAGAAGAAGCTGAGATGAGCTGTTGAAAGTAAGACTTTCAAGGATGAGTAGGAATTACCATGTAGACAAGAGGAGTAATGGCAGTCTAGGGAGAAGAGTGAAGAATGTATTAAAAGCATAGAGGCTTCTTTTCTTTAAACACAGAGAATGGTGTTTGAAAAACATTGATTTTTATATGTCTGAAGCATGAATAAGAGATGAAGCTAAAGGAAAAGTATGATTCTGTTTATTCCCTTAAAAACCAATGTTCACCTAAAACCCATACAGGGCAAATGAAGGATTTTAAGAAAGGGAGCACAGGGTAAGATTCATATCTGAGAATGATTCCTCTGGGGACAATGTGAAAAATGAATTAATTAGAGGGTGGCAAGACATTAGTTGGGACTAATTAGGAAGTTATTTGTAAAGGTCCAAGTAAGAAATGATATGGTAGTGAGAATGAAGAAAGAGGAGCCAGTTTGAGTTAAAAGTAGAATCTGTATGAACTGGTGACTGATTAGAGGTGGGAGATAATGAAAGAGGAGGAGTCTTAGATTATATCACTCTTTCTGGCTTGTGCAACTAGTAGTGATGAATGTGTTACTAACTCAGGAAATAGAGGAGTTACAGGTTAAAGAGTTAATGAGTGCAATTGAGCTTGAAAGTAGAGATGTTTCGATTTTTGTAAGTAAAGGGGTCTAGAGCATAGGAACCATCAGTAGTAGATAACGATGTTTGGATACCACTAAGAAATAAACCTACAGAGGCGTATGTGTATGTCTGCACACATGTGCATGAAAGGTGCAGTAACAAAAGAAAGGGACAGGCTGGTTTTTTGACATTTTTAAAGAATGTAGCTTTTACAGAAATATACTTCTGGAGTCCATTATTTCTTCATATTACTTGGTATATATAACATGGGGATTCATAATATATACAAGTATCTCAGATACTCTTTGGAAATTATATGAAAGAATTCTATAAATTGGAAAAATTAATTGAAATCAAATATGTGTGTTTTGCCTATGTATAGATAGCTAGTAATTTGACTTTATTTAACCTTGATCTTATTGTGCTTGTTTCTTAGACATCAATTAAGTTACTTTTTTTATTTTAGATGGAAGAAGAACCATTTAACCCAGACTATGTTGAAGTAGACAGAGTATTAGAAGTCTCATTTTGTGAAGATAAGGATACTGGTGAGGTAAATATTTGAGAAAAACATTTTTTAAGTAAGAAAAACCTGAAACTGCCTAAATAGTAAAACAGTACTTCTTAATAAGTAAACCATACCCACTGCTGTTGAGTCGATGCCCACTCATAGTGACACCTTTTGGTTTCCCAAGGCTGCATATCTTTATGGAAGTAGCTAACTTCATGTTCATCCTGCAGAGCAGCTTATGGGTTTGAGCTGCTGACCTTCTGGTTAGTAAGCAAATGCCTTACCCAATACGCTACCAAAGCTAATATAAAAACCCTAGAGAATGTTTCATTGTTTTATTGACATTGGTTAGTATATTGAAAGCATTTCTAACTAGTCCCTATTTAAACTATTTCTTAATCTTCTCTATATCAAAATGGTAAAACAAAATAAATTTTTTTACAGCCTGTTATCTACTACTTAATAAAGTGGTGCTCATTGCCATATGAAGATAGTACTTGGGAACTAAAAGAAGATGTAGATCTTGCAAAAATAGAAGAGTTTGAACAGTTGCAAGCTTCAAGGCCTGACACAAGACGCTTGGTAAGAATGTGTTAAAACCAAATCAAATCCACTGCCATCGAGTTGATTCTGACCCATAGTGACTTCCATTAGGTTTCCGTGGCTGTAGATCTTTATGGAAGTAGGTTGCTCCTCCTATGGAGCATCTGGTGGCTTTGGACCACTGGCCTTCTGGTTAGAAGCCAAATGCCTTACCCACTGCGCTGCCATAGGTACTTAAGAATATGTTCAGCAGGTTTAATGTCAGTTTTGAATTTTGAATCTAGTTCTTGCTATGCAACTAATATGCTTCTCCTTTTAATTGCTATACAGTATCATATCTATATTAATTTAACTATGTTGCAATTGTTTGCTAGTATAGACAATGTTGTATTGAGTATTTTTGAGCCCTTGTGTAAGTTTCTTTAAGATAAATTAGAAGTGTAATTGCTTGGTTTGGTAAATTTTTGTTAAGTGTTAAGTTCTTAATGCCTATTTCATGTCTGTATTTAAAAGTTAACATTTCGACCCCATCTCTGAATTTAAAAGTTTACCTTTTTTTCCTCATGTCATTTATATAAATATCAATAATATCAGTTCCAGCCCGTTAGGCTGGACAGTTACCAATTTTCTATTCAAAGAAAATTCCATAAATACCTACTTTTCTTCTTTTTTGTAAAGTAATTATTTCTTCATAACTACATAGTTCATCTACTTGCCTAGTAACTTTATTTTTAGAAAAACCTATTATATTGTAAATGTTAGGTACACTTGATTTTTTTTATTGATAACATGGATGTCTTTCCTCTTTTCCTCCAAAAGAAACTTAAGTGTTTTTGTTGTTGTTGTTGTTGTTGTTGCTGGTTGTTTGTTTTCTTTTGCTGTTGCAGAAATGATAGAATTCTAGGAGATTATGGCCCCACGTAGTGATATTGCTAACTTAAATTTTTTTCTTTCATGTTTTCAAAACATAGAATTGTTGTCATGTGAATTCATTAATGGCAGCTAACCAAAAGAAATTCACATCAAGGAGACATACTATGATTTCATCAAATATTTTGGCTGTTTTTCTTTGTTTTAATGATAAACTAGTCTTTGGCTTCATCACATAAACATCTATTTATATGATGGTTCTCAACCAGAGGTGCATGTCAGAATCTCTGCGAGTGGAACCCAGACATGTGTGATTAGGGTGCTTATACCAGGGAAAATCCACTGTCTTACATATGTAGTATAGACATTGTTAGTTGGGATTCAACCAATAGGATTAGACCTTCTAATTAATGGAAAATTGATTAGACAAAAATTGCTAATTTATCATTGTGAATAGGATATCTTTAGAGTTTCTGAATGAAATTTCTCCCAGACCCGAACTACTGAAATACATTTTTTAAAACTTTTTTATTGTGACTGGGGTGAAAGTTTATAGAGCAAATTGGTTTTCCAGTCAATGGTTCATATGTGTTTTGATTCATGACATAGGTTGCAATCCCCATAATGTAACAGCACTCTTCCCATTTTCTCCCAGTGTTTATGGTTTGCATTTGTCCTTCTTTGCTGTCCCTTCCTGCCTTCTGAGCTTTACCTCTGGGCAAATGCTGCCTTTTTATATCTTGAGGTTGGATGTTCTATGGGGGGTGTACTTCTCTGGTGTTACTGTTTACCTTATAGACTTGTCTATTGTTTGCCTGAATATTGAGCCCTTTGGGTGGCTTAAAGAATTAAAGAGAGAGTAAGCAATTGGCCTAAAACATGGTTCTGCATCCCACTTTGGTGAGTAGCAACTGGGGTCTTAAAAGCTTGCAAGCAGCCATCTAGGTGCAACAATTTGTCTCTCCTTGTCCAGAGCAAAGAAGGAAGAAAACCAAAGATGCATAGAAACAATTAGTCCAAGGGACTAGTGGACCATGTGAACCTCAGCATGTATGCCTATGAGACCACAAGAACTAGATGGTGCCTGGCTACCACTGTCAACCACTCAGAAAGGGATCAGTGCAGGAGACCCAGGATAGAGTGGGGATAACAATATAAAACAAAACTCAAAATGATAAAAAAAAAAAGAAGACCAAGTTTATTGGTCTGGTGAGACCCCCTGAGACTATGGCCCCTAGTTACCCTTCAGGCTTAAAATTGAACTCATTCCCATGGCTTCCAGCCAAACAGGCTAATAGAATGAACATTTACACCCGGTAGTTACACTCCATAGAATGATCAGTCATGGGAGAACAGAAGGGCAATATTTTCACAGGTAAATAGCTCATGGTGCAGGAATACATGGGAAAGAAGGACACAGGAAAGAGGTAACAATAGAGAGAAAGTGGAAAGAGAGCTATTACATTGTGGGAATTGCAGTTAATGTCATGAATCAAAATGTGTAAGTGGTGTATGGAAAAAGAATCACAATAAACATTTAAAAAAATAAAAAATAATAATGAGTAAGGGCCGTAGTCATAGTGGTCCCACAGTCTCGAGCAGACCAGTAAATCTGGTCTTTTTTTTTATGGTTTTGAGTTTTGTTCTACATTTTTCTCCTTCTTTCTACACCTCCTTTTGTGATCCCTTTCAGAGCATTTGGCAGTGGTAGCCAGCCACCATTTAGTTCTGGCCTTAGGGTCATGGAAGCTGGGGTTCATATGGTCCATCAGTCCTTTGGACTAATTGTTACGATGTGTCTATGATTTTTTTTTTTTTTTTTCACTCTTCTTTACTCCAGAGGGAGAGAGACAAGTAGTTGTACCTTAGATGGCCACTCACGGGCTTTTGAGACCCCAGTTGCTACTCACCAAGGTAGTAGGCTGTAGAACGTTGGCTTTGTGGACTGTGTTATGCCACTTGACCTTGATGTCCCCTGAGACCATGGTCCTAAGTCCCTAGACCCAATGACTTATTCCTTCAGGGTGTTTGGTGATGGCTAAGAAGGTTTCATAACTTTGCCCCCTGTATGCTCTACTATATTGATGGATATATTTGCAGCACATATAGATACATATGTAGTAATATCCTATGTCAAACTATACATATTTGTGGGTATAGTCCAATATGGCTTCCTACTCATGTTCATCTTGTTTTTTTATCCTAGGCATCCACTTACAGATTATTGTTATCCCTGTTTGTTCTGGTTACCTGGTGCTGTTCTGACAGGAATATACCACAAATGGGATGGCTTTAACCAACAGGAGTTTGTTACAATATTGGAAGCTAGAAGTCTGAGTTCAAAGTATCAGGCTCTAGGGGCTGAGTGAAAGCCCCTCAACCTTGGGCTTCAGCTCTGCCTTCTGTTCCCAGCCCAATGAAGCTAGAAGCTTCTCTTCTCTCAGACACCTGCTGGCTGCTGAGACTGACAAACCCAAGGTCGACAAATAAAGGCACAGTCCCAATGTTACCAAACAACACTGCAGGCCATTGATTAAAGTCCATTGAAAGTCCTAAAATTGTCAGAGCATGGCAGGCTGCTGAACAATAACTCGGCTACATGCAGGGTTCAAGCACGCCACAAGCTAGAGACCATTCCCAACACTGTTTCTTATATACGGAAAGCAGATCACATCCCTAAAGCAGCTACTCAGCTACTTGTGGTAGATCCCACCATAGAGTTGACTGCCAGTCTCATCATGGGGAATAACTACATTCAGCTGCTCAGCCACTCAACCAGGCCCAACAAAGGTGACACACAACCTTAATTACCACACTGTTATAGCAGGATTGTGTATGTAATAGTATTTACCTTTGTTGCTTTTAACTCTCATGTTCCTCCTAGTGTCTTCCTGTCCATTGATGATTTTGTGCTTACCTTCCTCTATTGTATATTGCTTTTCCCTTCATCCAAGTTAATATGTGTCTACTCTCTCATTAGTTATTTCCCGTCTTCCCTTCCCAGTCGTGATATTCTTCAATGAATCTTTTTTTCACTGTGAATAAAACTTTTATTGACTTTTTATAGTAGTGGTCTAATAAAATTTTGTGATTACTGGTTTCACTCAGCATAATGTCCTCCAGTTCACCTTTGTTAGGAAGTGTTTCACAGATTCATTCTTCTTCTTTTTTTTTTTTTTAATTTTTATTTTGATTTCAGTGAATATCTACAGAGCAAAGTCATTTGCCATACAGCAGTTCATACACATTTTGTCTCATGACATTGACTACAATTTCCTACTGTGTAACAGCTCTCTTCCCACTTCCTCCCCATAGTTACCTCTTCCCTGTGTCCTTCCCTCCCATGCAATCCTGCCCCCTGAGCTGACTCCCTGTGCGTACACTACCCCTCTGTTCTTTAATGATTTATCACTCCAAGGAGTGTATTTACCTAATGTAAATGTTCACCCTTATGCCTGTCTTTTGTTTGTCTAGAAGCCGCAGGAGTATGTTCAATTCCAGACCTGAAAGGCAGGTAGGGGCCATAGTCTCAGGGGTTTCACCGGGCTCTATCAGACCAGCACACCTGGTCTTCTTTTATAATTTTGGGTTTTGTTCCACATTATTCTCCTACACAGATCCCCCTCCGAGTGTTTGACAGTGGTAGCCAGGCACCATCCTGTTCTTCTGGTCTCATGGTCATATAGGCTGGGGATTGCATCGTTTGCCACTCCCTTGGATTGATTGTTTCCATGTGTCTTTTGTTTTCTTCTTCTTTGCTCTGGACGAGGAGAGACCGACCCATCATTGCGTCTAGAAGTCTGCTTGCCATCTTTTAAGGTCCCAGTTGCTACTTGCCAAAGTAGAACAATGTAGAATATGTAGAACAGTGTTTTTGTTTATTATATTATGCCAATTAAGGTTGTTGTCCCCTGGCACCGTGATCCCGAAACCACAGGTCCAACTACTTGGTCCCTCCAGATAGCTAACTGTGGCCAAGAAGTCACCACAACATTGTCCCTTGTCTGCTCTACTACACACCTGGACATTCTTACAGAACATACAAATACACTTGTAGAAACATCATCTGCCAACCCTATACACGGTCATAGGCACACTCGCTCTGCCTAGATATTCCTGATTGTTCAGCATGTCTACCCATCTATCTACCTATAGGTCAGTGACTCCGC